AACTTTATATATCTAAAGTAGCTGCTTTATATATTTGAAATAGCTATTTTAGATATATAAAGTAGCTACTTTAAATATATAAAGTAGCTACTTTATATATCTAAAGTAGCTACTTTATATATCTAAAGTAGCTACTTTGTATATTTGAAGTAGCTACTTATATATTTAAAATAGCTACTTTATATATCTAAAGTAGCTACTTTGTATATTTGAAGTAGATACTTATATATCTAAAAGTAGATACTTTATATACGTATCTAAAGTAGCTAATTCAAATATATAAAGTAGCTTTTTCAGATACTTTAGATATATAAAGTAGCTACTTCAAATATATAAAGTAGCTACTTCAGATATATAAACTAGCTACTTTAGATATATAAAGTAGCTACGTTAGATATATAAAGTAGCTACTTTAGATATATAAAGTAGCTACTTTAGATATATAAAATAGCAACTTTATATATTTAATATAGCTAATTTAAATATATAAAATAACAATTATATATATATAAAGGTGCTATTTTAAATCTATAAAGTTGCTATTTGAATATATAAAGTTGCTATTTTAAATATATAAAGTTACTATTTTAGCTATGTAAAATTGCTACTTTTGATATATAAAGTTGCTATTTTGGATATATAAAGTTGCTACTTCAAATATATAAAGTTGCTACTTTAAATATATAAAGTTGCTACTTCAAATATATAAAGTTGCTACTTCAAATATATAAAATAGCTACTTTAAATATACAGTATAAAGTAACTACTTTAAATATATAAAGTAGCTACTTTAGATATATACTTTAAATATATAAAGTAGCTACTTTAGATATATAAAGTAGCTACTTTAGATATATAAAGTATCTACTTTAGATATTTAAAGTATCTACTTTATATATTAAAAGTAACAACTTTATATATCTAAAGTACATAGCTACTTTATATATCTTAAGTAACTACTTTATATATTTGAAGTAGCTACTTTATATATTTGAAGTAGCTACTTTATATATCTGAAGTAGCTACCTTATATATCTAAAGTAGCTACTTTAGATATTTGAAGTAGCTACTTTAGATATCTGAAGTAGCAACTTTAGATATCTGAAATAGCAACTTTATATATCTAAAGTAGCTACATTATATATCTAAAATATATACATATATCTAAAGTAGCTGCTTTATAATTGTTATTTTATACTAAGTCTATAGATAGTAATTATTTAGGCGAATCCCAAGATACTTGAGTTAAAAATGTGAATATAGAGATTGGCAAATTCACTGTTACACAAAGAGCTATTATCTATAGTTCTTTGTATAACAGTGAATTTGCTGATCTCTATATTCATATCTTTAACCTCAAGTCTCTTGGGATTCACCAAGCCGATTTGAATGAATTTACTACCGTTAGAATCAGAAAAATTATCTTTACAACTTTGCTTAGAATGAGAAAAGACTTTACTTAGTCATTTGTTATCTAAAGTAGCTACTTTAGATATATAAAGTAGCTACTTCAGATGCGCTACTTTATATATATAAAGTAGCTACTTCAAATAGGTGGCTACTTTAGATGCAACACTGTTACCAAAATAGCATAAGAACAACTAAAAATGAAGAGAAAGCCTGAAATCTGCAATAGTAGAAATTCAAAAAGACAATTAAATATTAGAAACTGTTATCAAAATAGTATTGGAGTTCTTAAAGATGAAAAGAAAGCTTTTAAGTGGTATTTGAGTTTTGCCGAAAATGGAGACCTTAATAGACAATTGAATATTGGATTTTGCTATAATGAGGGTATAGGTACTCCTAAAGGTATTTGAATAGTATTTGAAATCTGTAGAAGGTAGTAATGTAGCTGAACAATTTAATGCTGATAAGAACATAGATTTTTTCAATGATGAAATTGATTTATTGCAAGAAATTTATAAACATTTAATAAATAAGATCTCAAATCTAGAACATTTTAAAATTAATGAATCTGAAAACATCAATCTTCAAGATATTAATACAGGTAATACATTTTATTTTATTTTAAATATTAAAATGATAACTTTTTTTAATATTTAATATTAATTATTATAGAACAATTTTTGAAATATTTCAATAATCAGATAGTACGAATAACGAAAGTTCTTTATCAAAATCAAAGAGAAAGAAATTCACCAAAATTAAATGCTAATGACTTCATCAATTTAATTAAACACAAAGATCCCGAGATCCAAGAATTTTTTGATATTTTATATAATACAATAAATTCTAAAGACAAAGCTTTAAAAATACAAAAAAGTTTCAAAGAAATAATTATAGTATTGTGCTATGAACTAGCTGGATTGCAAAACAAGCAAGTAAGTGGTGTCAAAGCTACACTAGATTTGTTTTTTACAAAATCTAAAGCCTTGGCTCATTGTATTAATACAATGACTAATATGGAATTATATACTACATACCAAATAGCTTTTAATAAAATTAATGAAATAAGTGATAAGCACTATGATAGTGTGAAAAAATATGTTCAAAATCACGTAGGTTAAAATATTTTTTAAATAATTGACTTATTAAATATACATACTAATTTTATTATAATTTTTAAGTATAATAGTCTTTTTATTGCATATGTAGACGATTATCATAATCTTCATAGTACTCATATTCCATCAACAAATTCAGCTAAACAAATGAAATAGACAGGGTACAGGATCGATTTTCTGTTCACATGACTTATGAACATAACTTCCAAAGATCCCAGATCCCAGTTGCAATACATTATACTAACTTTATTTTTATTCTCTTCGAATTCAATACTTACTACTACTAACATTCTTAGATGTCAAAAAAGACCAATATATCAAAAAAAGCATCCTTATTTATGAATCTACTTTGTATAATTTGCATACAAGCGCCTTTTATTCAGGTATAGACTGTTCAAGCAATTCATTTAATACAAGAAACTTAGAAGATATTGCTAATTTTTTTTATCTAACTACGCGAAGTTCAATAATAACATATTTACTTGTTACAAATATAAAGTCCAAGGCTTCGAGCTACTCCAGGTTGTATTGCATTGCCTTTTATTTTTTATTTTATCTATGTCTTTAAGAATAGTAAAGGCGTGATCTAGATTATTAACAATTGCTTCTACATGTTTTAAATTATTTGCCAACTATTCTTCATTTTTGTGATCGATTAAACAGTTTAGCTCTGTAACTTTAAATTCCACTTTCTTGTGTCTTTCAATGTTTTCTTTTTTATTAGTGTTTTCTTTTTTATGGGTATCTTGATTGAATATACTAATTTGATTATTCATTTCTGCGCTTCCTAGATTTTCCAATACAACTTTATTTCCACTCCAAATCAAAAAAGGATAGTCTGTTTGCCGTTTAAAGTTTGTATAAATTAATTGAAGAATTTTCTGCTTTTTTAGAGGCTTTATGGATTAAGTGTTTGCAGATAAGAAAGTGACTGCAAAAAAACAAAGAGCAGCTACAAATCCAGCACTCTAAATCAATATAGTAGCATTCTTCAGTTTCATTAACTAGTTTTGCAAGTAAGTTTCTCCATTCTGCTTTAAAATCATCAAACCATGGTGGTGTTATTCTGCCAATTTGCAATTGCTAAAGTTTATTCACTTGATCAGGTAAGAAACGAGAAGATATTATCTAAAGAAGATAGTCAAGATGTGGACAATTGTATTGATAAAGATAAAAATGCTTTAAGACTTTCTAATGAGCCTCAATCATATTATTTGTTTTACCAAGTGGTATATCTTTTCGTGTAGAGTGTGCCCAAAGACACCATCATGTTGCTTTATACCAGGCAGGCTACAAATATGACCAAAGAATTACACGACCATTTGCAACACAAAATTCATACATTTCACAAACTGATTCAGCTCTTATTTCTGTAGTTAAAAAGAATTTTCCATCAATATTAACCAGGATCTTATAGTGCATATTAAAATGTTTTCGAATAAGATCTATGACAGTTCCTCGCAGATCAGGTGGGCAAACAATGTAGTATTCTTTACCCTCATGCTGTAGATTAGGCTTAAAGGAGAAATCAACAAAAGAAAATTCTTTTACAACTTCTTGATATTGATATTTTGTAAACCAAATTTGATTACAACTTCTAAGTTTTTTTTTAATTGCTTCTTCAAGATGCTACAAACACAGTTGTATGTCACTCTTCAGCTATACATTTTTTGCAGCATTTATTTGCACAAAATCCTTGTCAGTATAAAAGTAAGTTGAGATCAAACCTTTACTACAAATAGTACGAAAAAAGCCTGTAAGAGCTTTTGTCTGCAATCCTTCCTGAGCTTCATTGTTAGAGGCCTTTGTCGTATCTAAAATGAGATAACCTAATGGAAATCCTGTGCCCTCAACATTACTGACAAGTCCATAAAGTTCAAAACATCCTTTAGCCATTTTATATATAGCATCACAATGTATTTTCATTATCTTTTTGTTAGGGTGAGTAACGGTGTAGTAAAACCAATAGCTGTTACATGTTCTGTGTCAAGTTGAA